ATATAATATAAAATAAAAATAGGAATACATAAAGCAAAATTGTTAACTAGGGGTGACCCAATACCAGAATTTCTTTCATTTTGGGTACGTACTGATACCTAGTACTGATACTGAGTTAGAACCTAAACATTACACAATGGCAATCTTTTTTTTTTTCTCACTTAAAACAAGAGTTCTGCTCTCCTTCATTATAGGCCTATAGCCTGGATCAAATCAAAGATATAGCATGGTTTAAACTGTTAAATAAAAATAACACAAACCATTGTCTTTTTAACTTGTACACATTTCTTAAACATGGAACTGACAAACCTTTCACTTGAAATGTAAATTGTAGCACAAGTTACAAGTTGAACTATTGATAGTAAGCGTGTCGAGGCAAAAAGTTTAAATAAAAACATACAGAGGTTGACTGAAATGGAAAAAAATGTGCATTTTGTTGTGCAGCTGCAACATGGTGCCACATGATGGCGCTCCTATCTCCAGCCTGTGTGTTGTCTGATGAGTTTCTGGGGCTGAAAACAAAGTGCTGTGATACCTCTCACCCACTCACTGCTGAAACCCTGAGGAGACTTATGGAGTCTAGACTGGTCAGCTTTGACACATGGGCCCCAACTTGGTGGTAAATTGTGTATCCCTACATGTTTGTGAGCAGACAGACACACAGTCATATCACACCGAGCAACAGCAACATCTGCTGATGTTTCTGTAAAATGATATTCAGACATCAGAACAAAACTTTTAGTTTGACAGTAAAATGATTCAAAGTTATTTAGGTCATTTTTATAGTTCTTTGTTGATGATGTCACTGACCAAACAGTGTAACAGCATACAGTGAACACGGCAGATCCAAAAAACAAAACTCACCCACAGAACATCCTGTATTCCACTGTGTTTAACAAAATCCTGAAAAAATGGATAAAAAAAATCTGGGAACCGCTTCTACAAACAATCCCAGTCATACGATGCCAGTGAGCCTATCAGGGTTAATGTGGGATCTTTGACACTGTTGGACAAACTGTGTTGAAATACCAAAGCATTCCAGGTCGGCTGGGCAAAAGGGGAAAGACTCTTTCTGGGAAACAAATTTGAGTCTCAGCAGATGTGGGCAGTAACAACGTACGTTTATTCGAGTAATGTACTTAAGTATAGTTTTTGAGAATTTGTACCACACTTTTTTACTCCACTGCATACACCTGAAAGACCTTAAAGTATGTCAAAGGAAACATTTCAAATCAAAGATCCCCAAATACGTTTTTTCATCATCATTCATCCTGTTTTAATCCACAAACTGAATGAGTTTCAACAAAATGAACACAGTACAACTGAGTAAAATGTCTTAATATATCCTGCCTCTTGTTTTGAGAAGTCAGTGAATCCAGAGGTGTCAAGTTACTACGTACAAATACTGTAAGTAGTAATTTTGATTATTTATACTTCAGTGGAGTAATTATTTTTCAGCCTACTTTTTACTTCTACTTCTTACATTTTAATTCAATTATCTGTACTTTCTACTCCTTACTTTTTAAAAMTGCAAAAAGTATTTCATTTCTWTTTAACKTTGACTYRTTTTTATTCCATCTTTTCATTGTTCAGAAAAAAAATTAATAAATATAAATCTATCCAGACACATGGAGCCCATGGATCGAGTGAATTTGATTGTGGTTGATGAGAAGTGTAAATATAAACCATTCTGACATCCTGTTGGATAGAACACACTCCATCACACCTGTGTGACAAATCACATCACACTCCAGCTGGACAGACTGTAGCACAGTGATTCCCAACCAGGGGTACAAGTACTCCTTGTGTTACGCAAGCATATTACAGGGGTACATGGAAAAATTTCCCAGGTTTACAAAAAAATAAGTAAAAATAGCAATGCGGAAATCATGGATTTGACACAAAATGGAATCCAGTATAAACAGCAGAATCTCACAGAATTTGCTCATTTGGGTGAGTTTCTGATGTATTTTGGACGTTGCTGTTTTCTGCACCTGCCATTACCCGGTTTACTTATTTAATTACTTATTCACTTTCAAGGCAACATTTTTATCTTTATATTTAATCTTTCTTTGAAAAGAATAAAATGCCTGAGAATTAAATGTTCTAGGGGGTTAAATAAATAATTTTCATTTAATAAACAGTTGTTGTGTGACAGACTTGCGACCTGTCCAGGGTGTACCCCGCCCCTCGCACTGTGACTGCTGGATATGGGCACCAGTGACCCACGCAACCCTGAAAAGGAAGAAGCGTGTACAGAAAATGGATGGATGGAAACAGTTGTTGTACATTATAGTTTTGGAGAATCATCATTACGTTTGACTGAAGGGGTATTACAGAATGACTTGGGGTAAAAAAGTCTAAAAAGGTTGGGAACCACTGAGGTAGAAGATGTAGCCTAGCATGAAGATGACCGTGGCTGAAACAATAGTCTAGTCTGGCCCTTGCCTTCCTACGCAGTTCCGCTCAATTTTAGTTTCCCGTACCAGGTTAAGTCTGGTCAGTTAATTCCAAACTTTTCAACATTTTAATTTAACACTATACTCATTATTGACTTTAGAAGAAAAACTGTGTGTGTGTGGTGGTGGGGGGGGGGTGCTATAAACCCTGAGGCACAGCCTAAGATTTTATCTTTAATGGTTTTTTTATAGTGTTCATTACTTTTATTTTTATACTATAAGTAGTTTTAAAACCAGTACTTTTATACTTTTACTTGAGTAAAAAGCTCAAGTTGATACTTCTACTTCCAAAAAAGTATTTTTTTAAACCCTGGTATCTATACTTCTACTTAAGTAATGAATGTGAATACTTTTGACACCTCTGAGTGAATCACATCTGTCCATTCTAACAGACACAGGGGATGGGGATGGTCTAAATATGTATGGGTCTCTGAGTGGTATTTCACTTCTTGTTAAACGCAAACATCCTCTGAGATCATTTTTTACGTTTAAACAACTCTAACCTCGAGTTTGGTGTCTTGGACAAGGACACCAACATGGTAAGGCAAGTAATCATCAAACGGTCATCTTAGCAGATGGCAACTCTTTCCCCTGAAGCGGTCCACGGATCGGGGCGGGGTCGGACAGTAGGCGGGGTCAGACGTACAATGGGCGTGGCCACAGCTTGTCGGAATGTCTGAATATGAGGCTTGAAACATTGAAGGTGGTTAATTTTAGAATTTAGCATCTGGGTTTGGTTAATTTTAGAGTTGAGGGCAGGGATAGACGTCCGACCCCGCCTATTATCCAACCTCGCCCCATTCCGCGCTCTGCAGCCAGGGGTTACTCGGTTTAGTAGGAGCCAAGTTTACCTTGTTGATCTGAAAGAGGCTAGCATCCCATCTCACTTACCCCTGTAGACAGAGAGTGCCTCGGACTTGCAGCACTGCTCGATCAGCTGGTTGCAGTGTTCCACCAGAATCTCCAGCTGAGCCTTGTCACACGTAACATCAAGGAATCTGGCCAACTGCTTCACCATTGTCCCCAGGTCCTGAAGAGGACAGTTTAAAACATACATCTGAGATTGCATATTGAATAATGAATCTGAAACTCAATCAATCATCAAAGTTTAAGAAAATCATTTGTCACTTTTAACCAGAAACCTTCAGCTGGTTAACAGAGAGCATCAAATGGTCTTGATCATCATGGCAACTGTAATTGTTTATATTAAGTTCTGCCTGCCTTATCTTTATTAATGATAAACAGTCTCCACTCATGAAGATAAAGAGAAGCTTTAACGACACACACACACACACACACACACACACACACACACACACTTTTGCATTTCTATCCTTATCAGGACCGTTCATTGACTTCCATTTATTTCCAGTAATTTCTACAGCCTAACCCTGACCACCAACCCTAAGGCTAACCTCACAGGTACCTACCTGACCCTAAAACTAACCTAAACTCAATTCATACCTTGGTCCTAAACCCAACCCCCAACCCAAAAATGGAGTTCCACCATATTAGGACCCGTCTTTGGTCCCCATTAGGACTACTGGTCTTGACAAGGTAGGTGCGTGTTATGGATTAATTATGTATATCTGTTCTACCTTGACACTGTCCAGTAATCATATCTCATGATAACTAGTTTCACCTATTTTAATCTATCGGCCCAGACTTCAAGACTCCAGCAATGCATGACCTCTTTTATTTTGATAAGGTGTTTCCGGGCTGACAGTCCTGTCATTGGTTAGATGGTTCACAGTTGGCGAACTGTGATTGGTTGTAAGCATGTTACAGGATGTTATATTATCGGCTGCTCTGCGCTGACGAGCCAGCCACAACTTGACAGACTTCTCTGATTGACTTCTGCTCTGTTGTTGCCCAAATTAAATCATTTGACGACCATACACGCAGACTTTCTGTGCATTTATTCCAACGTGTTTCTGCGTTCTTGGTAAATCCTGCCACCACAGTGTGTATACTGGAAACTGTCCTAAATAGGTAACAAAAACAAGTACAAACACACAAGTTTGTATTTCTATGCTTAATAGGCCCGTTAATTGCCTTCCATTCATTTCCATTAATTTCTACAGCCTAACCCTGACCACCAACCCTAAGGCTAACCTTACAGGTAGGCTACCTACCTGACCCTAAAACTAACATAAACTCAATTCACACCTTGGTTCTAACACCCCCACCCCACCAAAAAATAAATAATAAAAATTAAAAATCAGCCTCCGATGTCGTGGGGACTGGACTCCCCACAAGGACCATCCAGTCCCCACGAGGCTGTATTTTTCTGAAAAATCGTCCCCCACCAAGTAGCAAAAACAAGGACACACACACACAC